CCGAAATATCGACAAGACATTTTATATATATATATATCATATATATATCTACTCATAAACTTTATAAATAAGTGTTGGCCCATATACTATAGTGTAAATCTAAATTTTTTTTTAATTGATTGATATTTTTCTTTTTGAGATTATAGAATAGAAGCAAGGTTGCTTTAATATTTATTAATATTAAAAAAATTAAAAAACTCCCTTAAATAACATTTGATTGTTTAAAACAAGTTTATAAATTCTATAAGTCTTTTACTAAATGTACTTTAATATACAACTTTTTAATATTCACACATTATTTAATATTTATATATTTCAAATGCAAACTTTAATATTTTTGAAATATAAACTTAACCCTTTATAAGCTGTTGGTGTGTATATTTATCAGTTGTTGCATTGGCCTATATTACACATAGCATATATTATAAGCAACTCAATAGTTTTATTTATATGCCATTATAGTTGAATATACTTTTAAATAAAAAAAAATACTATTTCTTATCAGAACCTAATACTTGTCCAAGCATATCTTATTTTATGTTAATTAACAGATTTATTATTAATGTATTATGTAATGCATTCTACAAACGAATGCATATTAAATAGCTATAAAATTATGGATAATTTTTATAATTTCATTCCCAAAATAAAAAATATTTTCAATTCCTCTTTTTTTTTTGCTTAATTTTATTTCAAAAAGGTACATTAATTATTATTTAATTCATTGATATTCAATCATTGTTATTTAAAGTTATTAATTTATTGAGGAATAATTTAAAAATAACAATCAATATATGTATCGATTTCGCACGGAAATTACTAATAAAGATATCACGTGAAAAAATAAATTTTTAAAAACATTCCGTAACTGCAAAAAGTTATAATTTTTCTAGCTATATAACACTTTTTTTATTTCTTACAATATAAAAAATCAAAAATAACCACATTTTCAGTAATCAATTTTATTCTCTTAGTGAATTTGAACAGCAAATAAATCTGTATAATACAAATCTGTATATAAGGTATCTTGTCATTTATTTCATTGACGCTATATACTTTAGTATGTGATACTATATACTTTATGCACTATTGTATAATGTGAAATAAAGATATTTGCAAGGATATAGAAAATTTGCAATTTGTGTTTTTATTCCACATAATGAAATATCATAAATATTAATTATCAAGAAAAATCTATGTTCTGTTAAAAGTAAATTTAATTTGTAAATTGTATTTGTTGTATTTCATATAAATATTATGCTCAATATGATATATTCAATTCTCAATATTGGAATTATTGACAAATTTTATTCGTGTAACTACTGGGCAAATTTTGTTTATTTTTCATTTTTCCAGTATTTCATTACATATCTATTTATAAAATTGTAAATACTGAACAAAAAATTCATCCTTCTGTATTTTTTGAATTTACACTTAGAACGCAGTAAGATGTAAAATACCATTAAATCTGTATGTATATATATATATCATAGTATATATATAGAAAAGATTCCATAAATGAAAAGATATTTTTTATTATAAGTAAAATAAATTTAATTCAAATTCAAATAAATTTAAGGAATGCAATGAAATGTAGCACATTCGTTCTTCTTACCTAGGTTGCCAATAGTACAGTCAATACATTGGTTATTTTTTAATTCAGTAAATGCTATTTTACCAGCTGCATTATAAAGATGAACAAAAACAATAAAAAAAAAAGTAACTTACCATGACACAATTAGAAAAGTTGTACAAGGATTTACATAATGTAAAAATTAATTTACTTGACCATTACAAAGTCCATTTACCACAAATTCTTGAACTTCAATCTAGATATTGGATAAGAATTTGCGAAGTTCTGAAAAAATTATATCAAATTAAATATATTAAGTAAAAATATCAGAAATAAGTAATTTTAGAAGATCAAACAAGCATTTATGACAAAATAATATCAAACTGCATCTTTGCTATATAAATGTTATAAATTATAATTAAATTAAAATACCGCTGTACAATAGAATGTTGCAGTTAAATGGTAATATTTAAATATCTTTATGGTGTTATGAAAAAAATCTTAGGAAACATAAGAAATAAATTCAAATACAAAACAGACTTGATTTCACTTTTACTTTTCTAAATATAATTTTTCTTACTGTATGCTTATACCTAATTAAAAATTAATAGATAATGAAACTGTACTTACCATAATATATATTTGAATGCAAAAACATGAAATGTTTTTTGTTCAGAACATTTCGATAGTCAGATTGCGATGATTTCCGTTCCTTTATAAAATACATCTACAAAATTTCAGTTCGACTATATATATTATAATGTAAGAACGAAGGGAAATAAATATAATATAAAGATTTACTTAATAAAAGGAAGCGATATAGAAATGTTATAATTGAAAGAAATAAAAATGACAAGAAATAGAAAGAAAAGAAAAGGAAAAGAATGGTAGAAGTTCTCGAATACGAAAAAGAAACTCTAATGAGTAATAATGAGTTATAACGCGTGGTTACAATCGAAAGTCATGGTTAAAAGTGCCAGAGCGAGAACAATAGATGTAAACACCAACGAAATTGCTCAAAGGTCAAAGATCATTTTGAAATTGAATACACTAATTGTATACACGTTTTCATTGGCTGATTCGTACAATTGTCGTTGATTGCCATAATTGACGTTATTTTTAGTATCAAAAAATTAAATAATTTAAGAATTAAAATTAACAATTAAGAATCTAATTTATAAGATAAATCTTAAGCACTAAAAAATTTTCAATAACACAAAAGATTAAATGTTACAGTGTAATATTTTTCAAACTATAGTCATTCCTAAGAGAAAGTATGTAAAGTTCATATGACGGTCAACATGTTAACAAAAAAGAATAACTTGTAGTACAAATAAGTACAGACTAATAATTGTAATTTGAATAAATAATTATATATAAATTTGTCATAATAATATTTAGAACACTATAATATTTTCTAAGAACATCTTGTTTCATGATCGATCACTTTCTAAGATATTTGATATGGATCTTTTTAATTAACTATTATTTTAGAATTTGAGCAAAAAAAAACACTATTTTAAGAATCATTGAATAATCATAATTTCATAATTTCATAATCAATATTTACCAAGAAACACATATTTCTACGATGATTCTATTTATTAATAAAATTTAAATTATTATTATGTTAACCCTTATCCGTCTTCCATTTTTTTTAACTTAATTTATTTTTTGATGTTAAATTGATATAGTGGCATAAAATTAGTATTTACAATGAAAAGATAATTAGTTAAATTTACAAATTCTTTTATTAACAATAAATAAACTAAATTTCTATTTAATTAGATACTAGATATCTACTCTCTGGTATAAATTTTACAATTTTATATTATAATATAATAATTATTATATTATTTATAATATTGTATAAATGCAATTTTACAATTGTATAAATATACGATTTTATGTTATATTATAATATATAATAATTTCACACATTTTATTCATATTTTGCACTAATTGACAGATACGAATGAAGGTAAAAAAATTTATCCATTATTTATCAGAAAATATCTTAAGCAATTAATTATATGATATACTAAAAATATCATTTCTGGTAACTTAGGTTTATAAAATTAAGCAAAATTGTGTATCAAATATCAAATTAACAAAAAAATATTAATCTTTTAATAATAAAGATAATAAATCTCTATATAGAATAATTCACATAACTCCGACAGACAATATCTTTGCTGGTTGAAAAGTTAGAAAAAGTTGTTAGAAAGAAAAAAAAATGGAGAGTTTAAAATAGACTACATACTTCATAATACATGCATTTTGCAGTAGATTTTTTGAAATACAAAAGTATCTTCATATGCATACATTGCATACATTAAATATTTTCAGTATTCTCTACGTAAAAAAGTATTAGAATTCATAATATGATCGAAAAACAATATTTCAATTTCAACGATATTTTTAATCTCTTGTAAAATTCTTATGTAAAAAACAAGGTCAAATACGCAACGTACGACTGTCGAGTTTGTTTCCTTCATCTTAATACGATAAGCATAGAATTAAAGCATTTATAAAATTTGAATTAAAATATCTTTTAAAGTCATCGATTTTCGTCTTTAAAAAAATTATATTTAGATATACAAATATAAAGAATTTACCTTTAAAATGAGAATAGGTAAAACGTTGTACAATTTTAATAATCATTTTTCCTTGATAACTTAATTTTCTGAAGTATTGTACGAACAGTATGAACGTCCTCTATAGCCTACTGTTTGAACTGAAACAAATATAAATAATCGTGGTACCATACTTGAGGTATGACATATATCAGGTGGTTCCTTAATCATTGCAATATTTAATTTGATTTAAATAGTTTAAACAGAAAAATGTTTTAAGTTTTTAACGGCGGAATTTTATTTCGAAAATGCGTACATATTTGCTTGCGTAATTAAAATTAAATACACTCGCAAGTAGAAATACAGGATTCAGCGAAATAATATATAAAAGCAAGCACAAAGTAATTTCTTATGAAAAATTAAGAGAAAAATATAGCTTGAAGTTGTTTGATTCGATACTTCGCATTTTCTTTTTGGGGAAATCGAATTCGAAAATTTATCAAGTATTAGGCAATTTTTAAAGAAATATATTCAAAGTTTAGTTTTTCTTGGATTCAAAGTTCTTTTTCGAAAAAAATGAAAAAACTTTAAATGAAGGAATTTTATTCTACATTTTTTATTTATTTTTTGCATATAAAATAACTTTCTATCAATTATTTATTTCTGTCATGCATTAGTTGAATTCAAATAACTTGATAAATTTTCAAACTCAATTTTCATGAGAAACAAAACCTTAAATCAAAAAATTTTATTTTATATTTTTTTACTTTTTCATTAAAAATCAATGCTTTTACATATTAATTACAGTAATTTTGAATTAGTTATGACAAAATAGCAAACGATATTAGTTTAATTATAGTTTTCAGTTTATCAAACACAAGCAGGTTATCTGTGATTCAGATAAAAGTGAAATAATTAAACAATTTTTGCAGAAAATAATCAATTTCACCCAATTTTAATATTCATTATATGATATTTTTATGAAAATGAAAAAAGCTATTACCCTTTATTGTAATAAAAAAAAAACATAATTTTTCACTTTTTACAACTTTTTACAATTTTTTTAATTTTAATTTTTATAACAAAAATGAATTCATTTTTTTTACGACGAATATACTCATCATTATTTCGAAAATAATCACTTTCCTAACAAGTATATTCATTGTTATAAGGTTAAAGACAAGGGAATCATACTCCTTGTCCTTGTTTCTCACAATAATAAATTTTAGAAAATTAAAACTGAAATATCTTTGATCATAGTTTTAATATCTTTTTTTACGTGAAACATTGAAAAGATTTAATGCATGTAAAAAGAAGATATATTTCTATTTAAAAATATAGTAAGCAATTACAAAATGTAGGTGTGTGCGTTAGTGCATTTGCAAAGAAAATGTGATTGACAGTATGTAATCAGTTTTGAATCTTTCATCTTCTTCCTCCAACGTTTGTTTTTAACTTCAACTGAAAAAGGTAATAGAATTTATTATAGTTGAGTGAATGTGGAATAATTTACTGAAGAAGAATTTATATTTCTTTCAAACTATTATAATATTAAAAATAGCCACTATTTACAATGGAATAACTTAGTTTCGAAACTCTGAAATTTCACACAATAAAATTACATATAGCAAACAAACGAATCAATCAAAATTTCAAAATCGATGACTGGATATGGATTTCTATTTTACAATTTTCCAAAATTGATATTTGTATCTAGCTCGTGTAACTTCCTGCTAATTCAATTTATTTTTATACAAATTAAAAAACAAATAAACGCCTGAACCAAAGTTGAAAATCTGGCAATACTTTCACTCTGTTCTTCTTAATATCCATAACGATCAATGACATTTGATGATAGCCAAGAAATAACTATTGATGCTGAAGAAATCTTGTTGAATCAGGAATATCTGATTATATCTCGACTGGATCTTTTTGGACCATACACTGTTGAGTGGTCCACCAAGGCATGACCATGATGCAATTTTGATATCGATGCATCCGACATGAATGTTGCAAAGAGAATAATGAATTCTGATGGACTTTTCTCACCTGCATAGTATTGACCATGTAGAGCGATGATCTTGACAATATATTTCAAAATCATTGCAATCGGAGCGTGGTATTTTTTGTATACATTTACCAATATTTAGTATGCATTTGAAGAAATAAAGAATCAAAACATTTTACTTGGTGCTTGTGCATACATAATAAAGGTGTAGCGTAGGTAAAGAAACGACTTCTCTTAAAAAGACAATTCAGAGAAAGAAAAACTAAAATATAATAATAAAACAGTAGGAAGAAGTGAATTAGAATAGCAAAAGCAAAATTTATTTGAGAGTCAAGAAAATAGAGCTAGGAAAATTTAAAACAGATTTTAAAAAATAGTAGAAATTGAAATATCTATGATAAATATTATTTGGTCTAGTATACTCAAGTTCAATGAATATAAAATATTTATGTTGCAATTAAGAAACACTGAAGAGAAAAATATTTTTTACTTTTCATTCCTGTTGGAATATAGTGATGAATGCTGTAAGATGTATGAGTGTCATTGCCTTTTGTCATTAACTAAACAAATGAACTCCGGCTTTGCATGCAGTTGGTCTCGAGGTGTCGTTCAGATGCACTTATGTATATTTCCAATCCATTATGTTATCGCGTATTCTTATCCAATAAATAAACTCTGATAGGTTATGGGCCCACAACGGCTCCCTTAATAAGTAATAAGTGAAAGAAAGTATAAAATAAGTGAGTATAAGTAAGTATAGTAAGTATAAAATAAGTAAGTATAAAATAAGTAGTATCCTTACTCCCTTAGTAAGTATAAGTGAAAGAAAAAAAAATCATGGCGTCTATGCACAATCTTTCGAACATAGACTAAATGACAATAATTAAAAGATCCTACGAGAAGAACGATGCCAATCAAGCAGTTGGACAAACAATATGCACAAACAATCGAATAAAAACATGATGCAATACGCAAACGAATACACGAACACAAAGCTGAGCAAATACAACCAGCAAACAGAGTTGCTGAATTTATTATCGATAATGATGCTAGCTTCCTTACCTGAATAGAAAGTTTTACCACAGATACCGAGATATATGAATAGACCGAGCATCTTCAGGTCACAGGGTTTCGTGGCCCGTGACCTGAAATACCGACATAGTAAAAAATGACTGGTTTTTTAGTGCACTTTACTCTGGTTTAAACAACAATTACATCAAGTAAAACAATCGAGGTTGGTCAAGTAGTGAATGCTCCAGCAACATGATTTTTGAGACCTATTGCGGTATTGTCAAACTTTCAATATCGAAATGTGAAGCTAGCAACTAATCGAAATCATTCTATTGTATATTAGAAAGAGCTCTATCCATCTTTTGCGGATCACAGCTTTTTTCAATAAATAGTAAATTTTAAAATTATTAATGCATGGTTTTATGTACAAATAATTTATATTGTATTAAACATTTTTAAAAACAATTTTTAACTAAATAAATTCTCAACTTTTAAATTATTTTAAATTATTATTAATCTTAAATTATCAAATTTATGTTATTTTATTTTTAACAATTTTATAATTATGCAGTGCATTAATTATGACAAATAATATAATTTCTATCGTTCGTTAGTTAAAAATTACGTTTATTAATGAAAATATTATTCGAAATTTTTCTATAAACTACTTTGTCTATATTATGAAAATAACAATTATTTATTTGTTATTTATTTAACATAAATCTTTAATATTTCATGAAGATTCAATGAAAAACATAATATTTTAAATTTAAAATTAGGAGCAGGATCTTTAATAACTAATTATTTTTAACTCTTTTTAATTGTTTTTTATAACGCAATATACAATATAGATAAAGTAAAATTCTCATGAATTATCAAATTTGTCCATCCAATCGTCTAATCCACAGTTGATCAGCCACAACAATACATACAACGATCACTATCATTAACTGGAAATTTATAAAATGAAATGCTACTATCCGTCACTTTACGGTTTGTCAATCCAGAAAATTGGTAGACGCATTTCTTATAGTGTTCACTGGAAATTTTTAAAAACAATTACAATTATAAATGTAAATAAATATAATGTATATAAATACCTGGACATTTTATTGTAATATATATATAAATATATTGGCAAACCTAGAAAATCTGTAATTATTATATTATATAGAAAATCTATAATTATTATATTATATTAAAAATCCATAATTATAGAAAATCTATAATTATTATATTATGTTAAATCTATTTCTTATTTTTGTATTTATTATATTTGTATTAATTTTATTTGTTTGTATTTATTATATTTAAATTTATTATATTTGTATATATTTATAATTATTATATATTGTATATATTTATGTGATTTTATAATTATCATATATTTTATATATTTATGTGATAAAAACTTATCTCCGAAAGCCACAAATTCTATCCGAAAATGACTAAATGAAATCTGATGTCTCCACGAAGGATTCCGTAAGCTTTAACATTTATTATCGTACCTTTGCCACTATTCTTAAGTGCAATATTTCTATCATGAGGATTTGTTGAAAAAAGTATTGGCATTCAACAAATTATATTTATTTGTGTAAAGCGACAATATTATTTGCGTGACTTTTTTCATTCGGTTCCTTCATATTCAACATGATGAGAATTTAAAAGATTATTTTTGTTTCATCCAATTCGAATATGAAATAAGCATTTTCTTAAAAAATCAAAAATATAGATTAATTATTTGATCTTTATTTAAATTATAAAATTATACTTTTAATTATTGCTTATTATTCGTTATTTAAACAAAAATTTGTTTAAGTGATTCGAATCGGATAATTTTCGAGGATTCGAATAACGGAGAATAGTAGATAGAAATCTTTTTTTGCCTGTGTTTTTTTTAACTCGCTTTTCATTTGTCAATGAAGGCAATTGCGTGAATATGTGAACTGACTACTTTTTCATCGATTTCGATGATTTTTGACTGTGTTGGAAGTCGATATGTAAATAATATTTAGAGATCGTCGAAATCGATGAGTGATTAGTATACAAGTTCACCGGCAATGAAAACGAGACGATATTTTGTATCATTTTTATTAAACATTTACAACAATAAATGATTTCGATCGTCCCAAATGTACTATAAAGAAGAAAATATATGTGTTGTGCCATTCAAGAAAATGAATTTTAATCCGAAATTTCGAAACGGACGATTTGCAAAAAATAATTTACTTTCTAGTCCAAACGATATTTGTAAAAACATTTTGATAACTCGGGTTTGCGAAATAAAGGCAATTAATTTAGGCTGTGAATTTACATATTTATGAAAATAAAAAGAAGTATTTAATTACGTTATTCATAAAAATATATCACGTTCCAATCAATTTTTAAAAATTTTCTAAATTTAAATAATCTATTTGTATTTGTAATAATCCTCTATATTCTAATAGATACGAATAATCTTTTAAATAAATATAAATACTATAAAAGATACAAGATACTATTTCTTAGAAAATTTAGAAAATAAAAAGCTTAAAATATTCTTTATAAATTGATGTTAATATGAAAAGATTCTACTTGTTCTTAATGATCTTTGATCTTTCTTTTTGTACACATGCGTCACAAGATGCTTCGCTATTACATACGTGCATATGCGTTACAAGATATTTCACTACTACATAAATTTACGTATAAATTTGTAATTAAGATAGGAAAAAGGAATACGTATACAGAATATATTAATGTACTGGGTGGTCACTGAAAAACCAAAAGGTTTGAAGAAGTCACAACTTGTTCGTTTTCAATCTTTTTTATCTTTTTTTTTGTTTTGTAGATTAAAAATTACAAAATTATAAAACCCATCAATCATACATCCAAATAAAATAATAAAAAAACTAAAAAAAAAAAAACACGTGTTAAAAGTTATTTTTGTTTTTAATATTATCAGCGGCCACCCTGTACATTATTGGATAAAGTGAAACATTTAAAAACAAGTGTACAGTAGAACGTCCACTTGTTTGGACGAAATTTGAATCAGTACCTGGGTGAATAAATTTTCTCTGCTTGAAATCCACCAATTTGAACTTGAACATCGATTATATGAACACCAATTGTATAAACTAAATCCTCGACAAGTTTACGTATGTGCAAATGCATTGAAGAATGTTACGTAAAGAAATAAATTATCGTTTTCTTAATTACAATGAGCCAGTAAGGCCTTAGTCTTTTTCCTGATTTTTCAAGAATAATGAACTACAAATCAGGATAGCAAGTCGAACTTCAATCTTCAAATCTGTTGTAGAGTCAGCCACTGAAAAAATAATTTTTCAATGAACAATTTATTTTTGAATTTTCAAAGAAAAGTGTCCTGATTTTCTCACATGGTAAGATCTGATGTAAAGATGTTCGAGCAAAATGTATCATGCAATTTAAGGGTACAAGCTTCGAAACGAGCCCAAATTTATTGTTTTATTGATTCTTCGTTTGCAGCAATTGTAGCAATTTAAATACTTAGTATCGAAATATTAATGTAAGTAACTAATGTGAGTAAAGCGTTCTATATTAAAGCTATTGTGTTTCAAATCATATTGCATTTAGATAACTGATCTTCGAGTCTATTACGACTATTGTTTTGTTAATTTTTCGTAGCGATCAGGCGTGAAATTCTTTTTTCTCAATAAGTTTTCTCGCACCATCTTCCAATTCTCCCACCAAGAGCAAAGTTGAAACTAGATTTGCCAGGTGGTGGTGGTCGATCAGGTGGAGTGGTGACTAGAATAAATTCCAAATGAAATGAAAATCAAAACAGTCAACGCAGAAAGACCGATCGCAGCAAAGGGAATCGATCTTCTAACAGTAGTGATCCATTGCTCGGCATAGCAAATTCCTTAGCGCCAAACAACAAATTTGAACAAAATGAGGCAAATTTAGAATCACCGTGAGTGATAAGTAAAACCGAAGAGGGAGTCTAATATCAAAGTCTGGTGAGTATATATTAATACAGATTATTAGAATGTATTAATTGAATATTCAGATCTAAAGAAATTATAAAAAAAAAAGAAATATCTTATTGAAAAGTTTTTCGATAGAAAAGATAGAAAATAGATTAGAAGAGTTGGAATGTTTGTTCTTAAACAAAAATCTCGATTAATTTTGTATTTTATTTAACTGTGAAAGGATTCCTTCTACAAAGTGAAATTAGTATTTCAAAAACCAACCTTCATGTTTTTTTTTTTTTTTTTTTTTTATTAAAATATGTGAAATATATGTTTCTACAATTTGTTGCTTTACGTTTTTAAAAAAAATTATATCCATTAATTTTTCTGTCTCATCTCCCATAAATTGATAGAGTGGATTGGAAAAGGCTAACCGTTCGGTCAAAGATAAATAATAACAAGAATAGATCCAAGATGAACGAAGTGGAACAAATTCTGCCGAATTACTCGTATGTCTTCGATTTCGAAAGAAGCATCGCATACCAGGACATCCTACCAACAATAACAGATCATTATTCGACATGTTTCTACTGCTCTGTCATTTACATCGCATTGATATTCGCTGGAAAGCATTACATGTCGAGTAGACCAAGGTTCGAACTAAGAGGTGTTCTTATTCTATGGAATGCATTACTTGCATCGTTCTCCATTTTTGGATTTATTCGGATGAGATTGGAACTGTCTTTTGCATTAGGCCATGGATTTTATCATAGCATTTGTTTTAACAGGTGATCTTACATTGATATCTTACTTCTTTAATTTATATATTATAAAACTATTCGATAAGCTTTTAACTAGGAATCAGTCACTCAAAACATCAAAATCCAAAAGTATTTCGTTGGTAAAGTAACTCTTCGAAACTTACGATAAAGATGAAAAATATTTATTCGTTATATGTTCTGAGGATGGAGATAATTTGTTAATTAAGTTATTTTGTTACAAACATACTAAAATACTCTTTGATGAGCCAGGAAACAAATTAATATAATTAGCAT